CAGATTTTTTTTATAAGTAGTCAAAAGACAATTCCGTAATTATCGACATTAACTAAATCCATTCCTTTGTAACTTGCGTGATATTTTGGAAAGAATGCAAATTTAGGTAATTTCTTGAAATTTAAAATCATTATTTAGTAATTCAAATCAAAAGAGCAGGGAGAATTTCATCGGACAACCACATTCGATCTGCTATTGCGTTAAATCAGGTTCTTTTTGAGGTTACAAGGGTTGGCTCGTCCCATACAATAATTTATTTATTTATTTTTTTGTAAAAAGTTTTTTGAGGAGATGGTAGATGAAATTTGTTATTGATAAATGAATTGATGTGTCATGTATACTATGTCTAAAATGACAAATTAACAAATGATATACCTTGGTACTTGGTAGGGGTGTCCAAAAGTCCTAAATCGAACCGAATCGAGCCATTCTTCATAAATTAAATACCCGAACCGAATCTCGAATCGAGAACCGATGGATTTGGGTCGGATATCTGGTCTAGACTAAAAATCGAAGAACCGAATAAGAATCGAAACTAAATAATTTTTTATATTGAAATAATTAAATTATTTTATTTCTTCTAAACAAATTAGCAAATTAANCCAAGAACCGAAACTAAATAATTTTTTATTTTTTATATTGAATTAATTAAATTATTTTATTTTTTTCTAAACAAATTAGCAAATTAATTAAATAAATCAGATTATTTCATAATTTTAATTTTAAAGCCCAAATATTTTTAAAGCTCATTAACCCATTTTAATTTGCTCATGACTACATGACTATTCGAATTTGCTCATTAAATTTAAAGCTTTCAAATGAGATAAAATTAATCATATTCGACGGCTAGTTATTTATATGTTTTTTAATTGGGTTACATTAATTTGTAAAAGTTACGAATGAAATGTCATTAGTTGTATTTATATAGTGTTACTGTAAATATTAAAAAATTTAATTATGGTACGGAATCAAACCGAATCGAACCGAACTGAATCCAAACGGTTCAATAATTATATTTGAATCCGACGGTTCCATTTATTAAATACCCGAAAGTTTTGGGTCGGTTCGATTTTCTTCAGAATCGAACCGAACCGACCCACGGACAGCCCTAGTACTTGGTACTAAGATGGCACGGTAATGTTCATTTGGAATAATAATATGAATAAAGCAACTTATTTCCAAGGAAAATAAACAATAATTAATTGGGAATTAAAATCTAAATCTAACTAGGACACACGTTTCCTTAATAAATTAAGATCAATGTCTTAACTAATCAAAAACAAAACAAACAAATCCTAATCAACAAAGACCAATTGCAGCAGCCAGAAAATAAAGGAAATTCCTTTCCGATTGGGACATTAGTTACCTAAATTTCCTCTTCAACGAACTATTATAAAGCACAATGTATCTTTTTTTTTTTTATACATACAAACGCTAGCTAAAACCCTAATTTCATTATCGAGTGACTCTCACCATTGTATACCTTCAAATATGTTCTCA